AGATTCGTCTTCATTTGCATAAACTTTAACTTGGATTTTCTCTATCAAACTTGGTTCATTTCGTTAAAAAATCGGTACACAATGAGAACAAACATCATAAGTTTTCTAAGCCGTTCAATAATCTCGCAGATCGTGTTTTATCGGGTCTAAAACCACTCGGCTGCGCCTCGTGTTTTATACCCGATAAAACACTCCTGCTCGTTTATTAAACATTACATATTGTATTGTATTGTATTTAGTCTCACATCAGTGCAAGTTTTGCATTTGGTCTATGTCATCCATATTAGTGGATCATCTCAAGTGTTACTGGTCAACAAAAGACGAAAATGCTACTCAAAAAATTTACACGTAACCACTTGAAAACTTTCGAAAGTGTGGGGTATGATGGTGGTCGCACTATGAAGTATCTATTGTCATGTGATAAAAGTATCAATGGATTTTTTGAAAAAAGGAAATTGCAGCAAAAAAAATTAATTAATTTAATAATTCAAAATTTTAAAAAATAAGAAAAATTCTTTAATGTCAGATTATTCAGATTTGCGCAGATTGAGAAGAAAACTACATTAATGACTAAATATGGCGGAAATTATGAGATAAAAAATAATTATTCTTCTGAAGCAAAATATTAGTAATAAGTTAATAATGTACAATTTCAGTCACAATGAAAAGCTATGGAGTTGCACTTGGAATGCAAGATCGTTCGATACCCGATTCAGCAATCACTGCAAGTTATTGGTCTTTTAGCCCTTACTATGCCCGGCTGTTTAAAGTTGACGGTGGTTGGTCATCGACCGCTTATAATAGAAATAAGTTTCTCCTTATTGACCTTGGACTTGTGAAGACTCTAGTAACAAGGATTGCCACTCAAGGGTGGACTTCCTCCGGGCATTCTGTGTTGGAGTATCATCTTTCCTTGAGTAGAGAAGGGATTTTCTGGTTCCGCTATATGGAGAATGGTCAACCAAAGGTAATTCTATATATTTCCCACTCCACGCAAAAATGAAATAAAATGAAATATGATAAAACAAAACAGCAAAACAAAACAAAACAAAGTTAAAATAAATTAGGGAAGAAAAATCTACTAACAATAAATTCGTTTCTAATTCCAATATTAACACATTACTCTCCAGATTAGAGAAGTCTTATTAATCATTTTGTTCAGAAAACAATATTTTTTAAGAACACAGACAGACTACTGCAAAATAAACTTGTTTTTCAACGCGGTTTATTAACTTGAAAAATGAATTTTTATTCTTAGTTAATCACGTCCTCTTGCTTCAAAAAATATCAGAACTAAATTAAAGACACATATTTTCGAAATGTTTGATTAAAAGATTCAGTAAATTATCTATGAAAATCAGGAAATTCAGCGAAAAGTTTTGTATGTGATAGAAGCGGCCATCTTGTATCAAACTTAAAATTCCAAATATGGTATCAAAATCCCTAATTTTCATATCTTAATATTCCGGGGCATATGGTTATAGTGTTAAAAGTTTCAACCCGGTTATGAGTTTCTGATAATATCCAAGTCCCCTTATATCTTCTTGTTGTTTTTCTTTGTGTGCAGATTTTCAATGGAAATTCCTACAAAGACACTCAAACGCCTGTAGAACACAATCTACACCATACCATCTTAACACGTTACCTCAAGTTTGAAGTATTAAGATACTATTATAATCCTGCGATGCGCGTAGAGGCTTATGGTTATCGTGGTAAGATGATCTCATTGTCACTTATTGTTTCATTTGCTAAACTAGAAACTAACCTTCTACCTTGGCTTGCCATCTGCTGTCAAGTGGGACCCAAACGTGTGAGGGGGAGGGGGGAGGAAGGATTGGACACTTAAATATAGTTTCCAGGCAAGTCTTGTTATGGAATCTGAAACTATAATTAAGCGCGCGCACTTTGTCTCTATCGATTTTATTTATTTGTTTTCAACAACACAAGCAAACACAAGATGAAAACAGGCAAAAAGCGTGTCCATTAAGGAAGGAACCGAAGCACCATACTAAGTCAACTCCCCAAGAAGTAGCTAGTCCAGTACATGATTTTTCAAAGCAAAAAATGTTGACACCCAAATCTCAATAAGATCTTTAAGAAAATTAAAATAAAATTGAATATATTGATCCTTGGTATCATGTTTATCAGAATCAAAGCGTTTCTTCTACGTAAAATGGATATCCAATGTAGACAATATCAAAAATATCAAAAATATATATATACTTAAAAATACTGATAAAATTAAAATATCTCTTGTTCTGAGAGGAGTTAAAAGACGGACTCGTTTTTCTTTCCCAGAATATCCCAAGTCATTATTAGGAAACGGTTCCAATCCAAACTCTGTAGATTACGTCATCAAATCATCCAGCAATTTGACTGTTGATTCCTTCCCTGTCTCCCACGCGACCCCTGGTGTCTCTTGGTGCTCCGAGTTCAACGATTCTAGGCAGTACCTGCAGGTTGATTTTAAGAGGGACGTCCTGGTTTCTGCAATAAGGCTTGACATAATCGAAACTACATCATCTACGAGTGTTGTTTTGTTCTACGCGATGAGTGGTCAGGGATTCAGACCATTAAAACAGGGTAACGTTTCAAAGGTATGTCATTCCTCCCAAGCCCGAAGGGCTATTGACTCATAGGCGATGAGGGCGAGAGGACGATTTGTTTTAATCAAATCCAACTATAGTCAGTCAAAAATATAAATACAAACAAGATTTTGAATTAAAGTTAATCTAATATTTTGGTTTTCGAAGCCGGCACTTTTTGCTATTAGTGAATATAACTTTTAGCCTGTAGTAGTAGCTCATCCAATCAGAACGTAGCATTGATGATAGACCACTAGTTGGATTTGACTAAAGTTGTATAACCCATTTTCAAATTCGTACAAATACCGCTGTGTTCCGCCTTAATTACAGACTCACTTAAAAACTCACTTAAAAACTCCAACAATACAAACACTTTGAAACGGACCTACACAGGAACATGTGATGATATTCTACACAAAATCGAGGCCAACCCTAAGCAACAGACATCTAAAAACTAGAGTATTGCGTACTTCGAAATATATGTAATTATATAGACATAACAGTTATGTCTTGATTGATTTCCTATCATTTATTTGTCATAGGTTTTTTACAATGGAATGAACCTTTTCCAGTTAAAGATGGTGGTTTCTGGAATAAGAATAATGCCGACTTGGCAGAACACAATGTGCTTACACTTAGATATCCTCGGCGAGGGTAGGTATATTTGGAGTGCGATTAATGAATATGACATTAGAGTTATTTTAAATATTTTTCCTTTTTTCTAGATATGTCTAATCCAATTGGATTCCAAGATCAAAGAGTTCAAGACCAAACCATGTCGGCATCAACCCAACTCACTGCCTTTACACGGCCATCATATGGCAGAGTAAGCCTGGATAATGTTCGCGATGCTTGGTGTGCAGGTGAAGAGGACTCGAATCAATTCCTGAGCATAGACATTGGTTATATACAAGTAATAGATCGTGTGGCTACCCAAGGAAGGCATACGACTGGTCTGGACTCGTGGGTCACTAAATATTCTATCAGATACAGCGAAGATGGTGTTGACTGGAAATGGTGCAAAACGGAGAATGAAACAGTGAAGGTATACATCTTCGTTCCCATCACGATAATCATTACCACCATTATCATCCATCAATGTCATGCATCATTGTACTATCATTATTATGCATCATCTCCATTGCCATCGCCATCATCAACACTATCATCTGACATCATCTTCATCACCATTATCATCATCATCGTCATCAACGCCATCATTATCAATCAATAGTATGCATCACTACTTGCATTATCATACATTATTTTCATTGCCAACATCAACATCATCAAAACCATCATCATCATCATCGTCATCATCATCAGCGTCATCATCATCCTCGCTTTCATCATCATCCCCAACACTAAGATAATCATCATCACTTACAAAGGAGAAACCATCCCTAGAATATTCTAAGTGCATAATATGTATGAGAGATAATAAATATAGAGCGCACATCTAGCTTCTAAGGATCACCCATTTATTAGAACTCTCGTGATAATGGCACGACACGGTTCAGCATATTTGACCGTCATTTTTTTGCCCGATCATCCCAGATCTTTCTGAATCTTCTCACTGAAAGAAAACTGTCCTACTTAGAAAAATATGAAAACAACTAAAATCGATATAGCTTGCATCGTTATGTTTGAAAAAAATATAAGTTGACTGATGCAATATTTCTGCTTCTTTTTCAAAGATATTTGAAGGAAATACTGACTACTACATGGTGGTCAAGAATAAACTACCCAAACCTGTAAGAGCTCGCTATGTGGAAGTTCATCCACGATCATGGCAAGGAAATCTATGCATGCGTATTGAGCTTTATGGATATACAGGTATGGCCAATTTACCTTAACCTTATTAGAATGGATGATATTATTGACCCCAGAAGTCGGGAAGTCAAATCTGTCCAAGGGAATCTAACCCTGCTTCGCCTCCCGGTTGGCTCAGTTGGTTAGGCAATGACCTGTTGTAGCCTTCTCCGCAGGCATCTCCTTGGCTCTTTTTGCTATCCGTTTGCTCTTTGGGCCTCCTGTGGTGAGGACACAAATGTCGTCCTCCTCCTCTCTCTCGTTCCTAGTTCTTCTCTACCATATATATATTAGATATATTACTTTCTTGTTAGTCCTATCAAGTTTATCGCACAATCTTCAGAAGACTTTGCTAATTTAAGTACTGTATTTGTCAAAATCATGCTTAGATTTAGATTGACCTATTATCCTGTATATCTTCAAGGTGTTTTACATTTCCTTTTCTCCAGATTAAAATTTATTGTATTATCGTTGTTCTTCAGCGTGTGCCAATCCTCTTGGCATGAACACTGGTCTTATACCTGACTCGTCCATCAGTGGCGTAGGTACAAGTACAAGTTTGCGACTTCCGATTTACGCTCGCCTGCATAAGTTTCTCGGAGACGGAGCCTGGTGTGCAAAACCAAGCAGTGCGGAGAAGTACCTACAGATAGACCTCGGGATTGATAGGCTTATTTCAGGGTTTGCAACACAGGGCTCTCAAAAAATTGCAGACGCGTTTGTCAAAAGTTATAATGTGTTTTACCGCCCCAATGATGGCTCTTGGACTTTTTACACTGAAAATGCCACAAAGGTACGAATCTATTGTGTTGTCAAAGCTATACATTGAAATGCCATTTAAAATGAGATATGGATCAAAAACGAGGTGTTTTTCCAGTGAGTCAAGGGGAAAATTAATGGGAAAGTGTTCAAAATTCCTGGTCATGGTTAACGATCCATCGCCGAAAAACTGATTTTTTAGTAGCGATTTCCCGGCAAATTTTTGTTTGTCGACATCGCCGCCATTTGAAACATTATATCTTAATTTCCAGGAATCCTTGCGCCTATAAATTATAGCTTGAAGTTGACAATCAAAGACCATGGATCGATTGATTGACTGAGGGCCCGTTTATTTTACTAATGTCTTTACTTGTGGGGTT